TGAGGACTGAGCTGAGACCCAGAGGCACTCCCTACATCCTCCCCCATAAGCTGTGGAGTCTGTAGGACAGGACGTTCTGTCCTCACTAAAGGACCCACTGGCGCCAACCTGAAACTTGGGATTTCTATGTCTCCCCCCCAAGCTGCTCATTCCCATTTCTGAAAAAGGATGGCTCAAGCCAAAAATCTTGGAGTCATCCTTGGTTTGATTGTCTCATAACTGTGAGCTAAACCATTAATGACCCCAGTTAGTCACCATGAAAATATTTCCAGGATCCAATCATAGCTCATTGCTACCATCTTAGTCCAAACCACAGGAATCTCCCCCTGCTTCACTACATGAGCCCGTGACCAGGCCACTCTCATGGTCCTCTCTCAGTAGCAGCCCAAGTGGACTGATGCCTGGTCGCAGCACCCCTACTCAGACCCTCAGGGGACTTCCCGGCTGCGCAGAGTAACAACCAACCAAGGCTGACCCCGCCCACCTCTCGCTGCTCTGTGCCACCCACCTTCTCGTCTCTCCTCCAACAGGTCAGGCCAGCCCCTGGCAGAGGACTTCTGCATTCGGGGGTCTCTGCCCAGATGCCCCGTGGCAGACCCCTGCCCACCCTTCAACCTCTGCTCACCACATCCTGGTCAGAAAAGTCCTTGCAGACTCTGCCACCTCTGGGCTCCTGCTCTTGCTGCCCCTCCACGCACTCTCACCTCGTTCCCTTGTGGATGGTCTGCCCCTTGTAGTGGGGAAGGACTGGTCTGTGCTATTCATGAATTATTCTTTGAGGCTGGGACATAGACGGTACCAAAGGCCCATCTTCTGACCAACTTTATGATAACTGAGATGTTAACAAGTGGGGAACTTTCTTTGCTCAACTCTACCGTAAAGGCAGCGATCCCCACCTCCCCGTATGCTGTGTTTGTTGCCACCCCACGGTCACACTGACACATTGTAATTTGGACTTCAGTGTGTGTGAGAGTCGTCACACACACAGCCCCTTCTAGAACCTCTGTTTCTGAGCCTTTCAACTGGAGTCCCAGCACATGGTAAACTGCGGTGGTTCATTTCTTATAAAGCCAGAAGAAAGAACCATCCTTTCCAGGGGCCCCTACTTTCAAGGGCTCCTTCCTCCCATTGACTTGACCACACTACCTGTGCAGACCACAGTGGCGATCAGTGGCTCACCCAGGGCCCCCCTGGCCTGGGCTTTGCAGCTGGTGGCTCGGGGGGATAGCCACAGCCAGAACAGGTCCCTGGGATAGGATCTGTGATCCTGGTGCTTCAGCACAGGCCTGGTTTGGGTAGTGGATGGC